ACCATAGGCTGACTAGCTTGAGACGTAGATATTGCGTGCTTCTTTCTTTCTTTTTACTTTTACCCTTATCTAATGGCTGTCTTAGGTTGATTTGTTTATAAAGTGGGTAAGTGCCAGAAATACTTGACAGGGATAAGAACAAAGGAAATGTTATTCATGAGTTTTGTATATGGTCAGCTGTGAATGATGCCATTGTCATCAGGAAAAATAATTTTTGAGCAGACTAATCTTGATTTTTAATTTTCTTTCGATCACTTGAAAATTTACTTGTTTTGATTTCATGGCTTGGTATTATCATTCTAGTGTTGATTATGGTGAGCAGAAAATAGTATTGAAAGGATTTCTTTACAGCTTGTTGATTTTTTGCTTTACAAATTACAGTCGTTTATGATAAAGTAGTATGGATTATATATGCATTTGCTCTGCAAGCCAATGGTAAAGGCAAAATTTCAAAATTGGTCCTATAATTTGGTCAGTGTCTAAAAAATCACTCCGATATTGATCACTTTCAATTTAGGCCCTATAATTTGTCGATTTCATCAATTTTGGTTCTTTTTTATTCGCACCCTGGATTAAAAAGTGACGTGGCATGAAAAAATAACTAAAATTGAAGAAATCGACAAATTATAGGACCAAAATTGACGTGCCACGTAGATCATAATCACGTCATGTAATATTAAAAAATTGACAAGTCATGCCACGTCACTTTTTAATCCAGGGTGCGGATAAAAAGGACCAAAATTAATGAATCGACAAATTATAGGACCTAAATTGAAAGTGGTCAATATTGGGGTGGTTTTTTGGACAGTGACCAAGTTATAGGACCAATTTTGAAATTTTGCCCAATGGTAAAATATGTAAGATAGTTTTACCTGCCTACACACTGGTATGCTGTATTATTGCATGCGGGTAGAAACATAATAGTACATATATTAAAAATATAATATCATATATGACAAATTGTAGAAACATAATGGACTAGATCAAAATGACTCAATTAAATTCTAGTGCTTCTTCTATTAGTGAAGTTTCTAGAAAAAAAAAATATATCAAACGGCGCAATGCACCTTGGGTCGCTACGGAAACAGCCTCCTTGTATAATTACAAGGGTAAGGTCTGCGTACAACTGAGCCCCCAAACCTCAACTTGTTGGGAATATACTGGGTGTGTTTTGTTGTTGTTGTTGTTGTATATATGACAAATTGTAATGTAGCTGATGTCTCAAAACCGAAAACATGAAAACAAAAAAGAACAATAAAATAACAAAATAATGCTGGAAAACAACAAGAAGAGTCTCTCTAGATATGTTGTCCTCTTCACATGAGATTGAGAATGGAGGCAAAATCCAAACACACCTAATAACAAGAAGAAAGATGAAGTGGAAGGGGAACAAAATCAGTAGAAATAAAATGATACGGCCCCAGTCCAGTAGGTTATCAAGTCCTGTTTGATTTTTACAGCAATGGTCATCACAATCAAAGTTCACTTATTTAACCTCTGTGATCTGTGTTTAATGATAATAATGATAATTATTAAAGGATAATGGTGGTTTGACTATGAGTTAGAACTTGAAACACTGACCTTAAAAGAAAAACCCACAATGCGAAAAAGCAAACATAGACAAAAAGAAATCACTATCTACATACCATTCCATCTCAGCCAGTGGAACAGAGATACAAAAAGAACAATGAAATTTACCATTATGTGGACTAAGAGCATGATTGTAACCTCTAGTAATGTAAACTCTTTTGAAATGACTATGGATTGTAAATGTCGCACGCTCAAATTCTTCAAGTAAGATCATGCCAAAATAGAAATATCTCTAGCTCATTGTGATTATCTCCAACTCCATATCTCTTTCTTTCGGTTTATTTCTTTACTAGTACACGATACTTAAATATATTAATATTTGTACGATAAATAAATTAAAATAATTTATATTTTTATTGTAAAATTATGTATAATAGATATACAATAATAATAATAATAATAATAAAACTAACACACAAAGTGATAATTAATTCAAACGGTGCCCGTATTTTTACACTAAATTTTTCAAGAAAGTTATTATATTTTTAAAAAAATTATATATGTATAAAACTGGTATTATTTACAACTCCATACATTTGAATCCAATTTTTTTAGAACAAAATAAGTTTTATTACATTTCTATTATATTTTATATTTATAGACGATATGGGATACCACATCGGACAGAACAAACCCGAGAAACAAGCTGATCGGGCTTGGTGAACCGTTTGGTCGAAGCACAAGCACAGGTAGGCCGAATCGAGGCCGAACGTGGCTACAGAACAAGGAGTTCTTAAGTCTAGAGGGACGTCACGGTTTCAAAGAGACACTGACAAGTCAAGTTAAGCCCTTAGATGACCTGGTTGAAGCTCTACCTAAAGGTATAACTGGTAATGTGTTCGACCAGATGAACAATGTTGATATCCGAGTTGGACAGCCGAAGAGCTCACGATCCAAGGATAAGGAACCGAGTGAAGACGATCCTCAAATCCAGGCCGACGTTCGAGGTATCCCGAATGGCCGAGCTGACTGAGGAACAAAGTTGACGAGAATGGCAAATAGTATAATTCTTGAGAACGACACTCCAAGCGACCAAGGAACGATGTCGATCATGACAGGCGTTCGAGGTATCCCGAATGGCCGAGCTGACCGAGGAACAAAGTTGACGAGAACCACAATAGTATAATTCTTGAAAATGGCACTCCAAGCAACCAAGGGACGATGTCGCCCTCCATGAACGCCAATTAGGAAATGGGGATCCTGGAGGCCAAAAAAAGGAGTGTTGATGAAGGTCCGATCTTAAGACTCGACAAGGCCGGCCCTTGGACGAATGCGGGACTTGGAAATGATAAAATATAGCTACTTGTCAAGTGATGATTGATGATGGGACAAGATATATTAGCCAACCACCCTAGAGCGTCTAGACCGGTAGGCCAGCTCGTTAGCATTAAATGCCCCACATGTGTGCATTTAATGTCTGACAGGTAATCATTGAAAAAACCTAAGACTTCATTTAATGCATGTCATAGTGGCGCCGACCTGTCACTCCGAATTACTGTGCGACGAGACAGGTATTCTTTATTTTCGTACCATTCTCGGTACCGAACATGTTTTAATCAATGTCGCTATCGATTTGGAATATTTTTGTTACGAGCCATCATGTTTTTCCCGTTATATATATATATATATATATATATATATATGTTACATTATTATTAATTTTATATTTGTATTCCCTTAAGTTGACTTTGGCATTAGAAGCATTCTAAATTTCTAATATAAAAAACCCAAAAAGGCAAAATTAACCAATTTGGCCCAAAATGCAAAACTAAACAATTTGGCCCATCAGCACTCTTTGTTTTAAAGACAATGTTGAGATGGAATCAATACTCTTTGTTTTAGAGGTTTGTGACTTAATTCTTTAAAGACAATGTTTAGATGGAATCAACACTCTTTGTTTTAGATGATGGTGACTTAATGGAATCAATATGTTTGTTTTAATGTTTTAAAGACAATGTATAGATAGAATCAGTACTCTTTGTATTAGATGTTGGCGACTTAATGGAATCATTGCTCTTCGTTTAGTTGAATACTTGTAGAAAAAAATAATAATGTAATTTGTTAAATATTTATTATTTGATTGTCTTGTTTTTACAATTTTAATTTTCTACTTGAAACAAATATTGTTGTTATTTTTTTGCCATATGTTGCCTCGTTTTCAAACCATTTTGTCTCGATCTCGAATAATACTAATCTATTTGGGACGGTGTCTTGTTCTGGGCTGATTCGTAAAAGCGGGATATGTACCATGACAGGTTAAATCCTAGACCGTCCTGAATTACGCCCACCCCTAATAGCCACTAAAGTAAATGTGGCCAAATATCGGTTCTGGGTCACGGTTTTAGAGGCTCTGAACCTGCCTGATTATATATACAGATCGGTTCATTGAATTGATGGTTCCGCCAAGTGCAGGAATAAGGGCTCCTAAGAGGACACAGCTCTCCATAAGAGAGAGAATTGTTTCACCAAGTAGAATTATTTCGATTAGTTATTTTTTCAGCATTAAGTCTTATAGGAATGTCGGTTCTTGAAGGGGTAGATTAATATAGCGAAGGTGTCTTTGTTTTCTATTTCTGATATCTATTTTTTCGCTATTTACTGTACTCTTGGGGAGATTTCTCTGGGGATCCCTTTTCCTTGTTTTTGTTCCTTAGCAGGGCATCTCTCTTCTTCATCTGGTAACAAGTGTCTTTAGAAAGAGTTCGGCGGAATGGATGCAGAGCTTACTTCTAAGCTAGAATCCATACAACTAGAAAGGAAGGAACAGGAAGATATCGAAATCAATCTAGCAGACATTCATAACAGTGAAGAGGTATGCCTCAGAAGCTTGTTCGGGAAAATTATCGGACAAAAGAAGGCCAATATCATAGGGCTCAGGAGAGCAGTCAGTCAGATGTGGTACATCAAATCGCCGGTTTCAGTGAGAGAAATTTCCAACAATTTCTTCCAGTTTGTATTTGCAGACCAAGCGGATAAGGAAAAGGTGTATAAAGGGATAAATTGGACATATGAAAATCAATTTCTGAAACTGCATAACTGGGAAGAGGGTATCTCAGCAGACCACCCTTGCTTTCAAGAGATCGAAATCTGGATCCAAGCCTGGAATATTCCCATTCACTGGATATCAACAGAAGTAGGGATTAAAATAGGGAAAGTTTTCAACAGAACCCTGGATGTGTCAGTTCCGCAGGGAGGGCCATTGGCCGGTAAATGTATCAGGATTAAAGCAGCTATAGACGTGAACCAACCCCTGCTCAGATGCTCATATCTCAAATTGGGGGACCAGAGAATTCAAATCCTCTTCAAATATGAGAGGCTGGTAAGTTGCTGCTTCTATTGCGGTTTCGTAGGGCACCAAGATAAAGCTT